GGTTTAGGGTTTGGGGGTTGGGGCTTAGGGTTTAGGGTTTAGGGTTTAGGGTTTTTAGAATAGGGTCTGGGGTTTCAAGGTTTCGGTTAGGGTTGGGGCTTGGGTGCACATAGTAGTCAAGCATATGGGGCTCTAGGGGGATGTTACGTTTACAAACAGTTTTCGGCCTAAACGTGTTGCAAAGCTGTCCGGGAGCTTTATCTATCGTCTCCTTCTTCGGGTTTGTGGATTCTCGGCGGACGGGGCTTACGTAAGGGCTGAAGTTTTAGTGTAGGGTATGGGGTCAGTGGACCAAGCAAGTAGACTATACGTGGCAAGAGGTACTACGATGAGATTATCCTACTTACATCCTAGATATAGTATAGGGGTCTTAATGCTTAGAATAAGGTTTGGCAGTATATATTGTACTTGAAAGTATCATACCGAACTTTCTTAGGATTAGTACTACTAACCTTCCTGCTTACCCAAATACCCTACCCTAAACCCTAAACCCTAAACCCCTCAACCCAAACCCCTAAACCCCTAAACCCTAAACCCCTAAACCCTGTACCCTACAGTAGAAGCCAGAAAATTGGACCATTATTCTCCTCATATACCCTTCAGGTAAAGCATCAGGGAACCTAGCACTAATCCTCCTAAAGCCATGGTGCCAAATTTCCGGAATTCGCTGTAAGACCAACTGATACCCTGAGATCCGAATCCTTAGAAGGAACCCTGAAACTCAAGAGCAAAAAGCAACTCCAAGTGCCTGCTGTTGTGGGGATCTAAGGCTGCTTCATGTGGTGCAGGGGTTCAGGGTATAGACGGTTTAGGGTTTAGGGTTTAGGGTTTAGGGTTTAGGGTTTAGGGTTTAGGGTTTAGGGTTTAGGTTTTGTGTAGGTTTGTGGGGTTTATTGGGAGTTTCGTACTAGGGGTACACTGGGCTCCCGAAGCACTCAACCCAGGCCTCCACCAAAAGCTTGCCACCAAAGGGGTTGAGGCTTAAGTTTGTATGCACACCTTTAAACAATCATATACCCGAAAACGAAGCCCCAAACCCCCAAAAACCCTGTTGAAACCATCGAAGCCGACTACAAGCCATAAAAGACCCTCCTGGAACCTGTGCAGAAAGAACCCTTGTGGAACCGTGAGAAAACCCTCGTAGAACCTGCATTGGCTCCTCACAGAACCCTCATTGCCTACAAACCCCTCGAAACGCGATGGCAAGAAAACGAAAGGGCCGGGACAGAGTGGGGATCATCTCGAAGATGAAATTCTCCATGTCCTGGCGTTACTTATTCGGATACTAAGGGTGCTTTTTTTACTGCAGGCAGTGCATACAGCTGCAGGAAGCCTCAAATCGAGGCGGGCTAGTGTGGGTGTAGGGTTCAGAGTGCACGCGATCTTCAACGCGTAGAATTTCTTCAAGGCTTCATAAGCTTGCTTTACAGGGCTGTACACTCAGTGTATGCAGGAACCCTAAGGAATCATGTTATCGATAACTATTTGGGATGCTTCAGTGATTCGCGCTTCAACCATAGACCCTACAGCCCTTCAAAGCCTAGGGTTTAGGGTTTAGGGTTTAGGGTTTAGGGTTTAGGGTTCAGGGTTTAGGGTTTAAGCCCTGTACCTTACTTGTCTGCCTCCAGCTGTTAACTCGCTGTCACTTCAACCATGGACTTGAGCTTGCAGGATCATGCTGCGTCACAGGGTTCCGTGTCCTTCCGACCCAACGTATGGACGCCAAGGCTTCTCAGGTATGCCACCAGAATTTAGTCAAGGCTTGTCACAAACGAAAACCCTCCACCCCTATTTTATGTAGTTCGGCATCAGAAACCGCTCTTCCCATCGTAAATCAGCCCGTGAGGACATGGGAACTTCGACTACAGGGGACAGCAATATCAACCTTCCACAGTAGGGTCCTTAATATCAGGGACTCTAAATAAAGGCCTTGGGCAACAGGATCCTTCCGAAAAGGCCCTGCTTTTCTGGGACACCCTTGCAGAGATCACTCAACCTGCTACTGCTGCTGCTACCACTACCACCACCACCACCACCACTATTATACTACTAGTTTGCTATTCTACTACCCTGAGCCTAAACCCTAAACTCTAAACCCTGTTGCTTTTGAAATGGCACCTTCTCCCGGAGGAAGCCACAGCCCAGGGCATCGTAGTAGCTCAGTTGCACCCTCGTCTGTCTCAGGTTCACCTGCCAGGGCTTTAGGGTTTAGGGTCTGATTGAGGGTTGAGGGTTTCCGAAAGTATGCACCCTTGAGCGTAGACCGAAAGCCCAAGACCCAACCTCACTTCAACCCCGCAGATCCTGAGCCGTAGCCTTTAAACCCTCCTCATGTT